TGGCTCACAGAAATCTTGCTACCTATCAGGAATAACCTGTGCAAACATAGAGTTTCTGATTCGTTTGAATTCGTCGATTAAATAAGTAATGCTAATGTATCTGGGGAGAAAATGATATCTATGGATGTTACTTCGCTTTTCTCCGACGTTCCCCTCACTGAAACTGTCCGCTTTATATGCAAATTCATTGAGGATAATAATGTAGACGTAGGTGTCCCTATCCACTACTTAAACGAACTACTTTTGAGGTGCACTCTAAATGTCTAATTCAAGTACAACAACACAATTTATAGACAAAGAGATGGAGTAGCAATGGGGTCACCATTGGGTCCTTTACTTGCAGATTGCTTCTTGGCTAGTTTGGAGAATAGTATTTTACGGCCTACTATCGACAGTTTCCATCTGTACCAAAGATACATGGGTGATACTTTCATCATATATGACGACAATACCGACGTATCAATTTCTGCAGTCGACAAATGATCAATGGATGTGTGAAGGATAAACTGCCGCTTTGAGCCACCGCAGTGTGTGTTTATAAATTCACCTGCTCGTGTGGAGCTAGTTATATTGGCCGCCCGAATAAAGCGCACGCTTTTCAAACGCATCTCTGAACATTATCCGGCATGATTAGCAAAGGGACAATACAAGACAATTACTGGCTCAATTCTCGAGCATTTGGTGAACTCAGGCCACGTAGCTCCACCAGAGTCGTCTTTCAAGATCATCTACAAAGTGAAGCCAAATGGTACAAAGGACGTTAGGTTTCGGCTTTTGTGTATGGCGGAGGCGTTGGCAATTTAACAATACAACCCTGAACTCTGTATACAGAAGAAGTTTGTCCAGTGTCTTATTCTACCTTGGTCTTAACTTCTTCACTAATCGTTCCCTGTAAAAAATTTTGATTTTTGCTTTGGTTCTTAATTTTTAATTTTACTTTTAGTTTGCTTTTGCTTTAATAATTAATTCCCTAATATCAATTTCATATGCTCCTCTTGTATATTTCACACCCTCTTCACATTTGTTAAATTGACACTCAAATACCTTTATTCTCACTCAAGAGCAATTTTAACTTTATCAAACTTCTATCTTTGTTCCGTTGAGTACCATGTACTTAACAACTTTTAATTTTCACTTCTAAAGCCACTTATGATTAATTATATCAACTATGTCACCCCTTATTACTCAATAATAGACCACTGTACACTTTTCTAAGTATAAATACGACTGTACAGCCAGCCTCTGAAGATGATTTCGTCGATAAAGAAAATTTTCTTCACTGAAACTCTCTTTTATTTTCTTCAAAACCGAAGTTTTACAAAAATGTCTGGACTGATGATAGGAATGTCGAAACATGAAGCTGTAAATTTTGACCAGAATTCACCGTATTGATTGGATTATCAGTGGGTGTGGAGAATCTCATATACTTAAATTGCTAGCATGGAACTCTATACTACTGATTGGTTGAGACGAGTAGTTGTAGTGGTTTCGTATATGTGTAAAACTTGGGCAATGTGTTGATAAGTAATTCCATATTACTTTGTTTATTAGATGGATATATCACACAATCACTAAAACAGTATTATATACTGGATGACAAAGTATAGTAATTTATTGTAATCGTAATATTAGTATTTCGAGATGACCGAATTACAAGAATCCAAACAAAACACAGAGAGGGCGGAATTCAGGAATTTGTATTTAGCGGAATTCTAATGCAATTCATATATGAAACATATTAGCAATCAACAGTAAGTACTTAAACAATACAGAGATAGAAATTGTCAATCACCACATCCGCCACACGTCGAATATCTCCTTGCGTATTTATAACGATGTCTCGGTTTGCTTGCAAGTAGCTGCGACCTTCTAACTGATTCTGTGATATTATCTTCATCACTGTTATCTGGACTTATTTCTGAATTATCTACAAAATCAGGATTATTAGCGGAATCAATAATATTATAATTGGAACGACCTACTTCATTTATTGTCACTTTGTCCAGGTGTCCGTTATGAACTGAGTGATCTTTGATGTCTAATATCTTCACCACTCGATTTCCCATTTTTTGTAGTATGATTCCAACAGAAGGTCTATAGTCATTACCTTTGTAATAATGTACATTAGAAGTCGTGGACATCAGATGCTTTTTGAGAATTCGAGATTTGAAAAGTTTTGCAGGACTTTCACGGGTACTTGTATGCTCTGCATTCAACAGACGCAGTCTATGCATATGCAACAATTCCTCCATTTTAATCAGTTGCTCTCTCATCTCATTCAGTTCTTCTCGTGTTTTCGACAGTTCGCATTGTAACTCGGCTACCTCATTTTTGGAAACAGTTGACGCTTGAGTTGCTGAACTTGTAGTGGAGGTTTTCATTGGATGAGATTGAGTATTTTGAAAAGTTGAAAGACACATTGACTCCATTTTACTAGACAGATTGGGAGAATTATAAGAATTCTGAGTAACATAAGTATTCGAACTTCTGCAAACAGTCTTGATGTGTCCAACTTTACCACATTTGTGACACTTAGCACCCCGAAAACGGCAAGTGCTTCGTAGATGTAACTTTCCACAGGAAAAACACGGTTTAATGTTTTTGATCTCTGGCTGCATTCTATTACCTGTGGACGACGGTTTGGATTGCTTTCCATGAACACTTGTATTTTCGACTTTGGACAGCATAACATCAGATACTGACGTAGTGGGAGCAGAGTATTCATTATTGACATCTTCATATGTAATACATAAATCTTTAGCAGTTTGAAAGGTACAAGAAGGAATCTGAATTAACTCTTTCTCTAACTTAGGAATATTGATTCCAGCAATTAGACGATCACGTAGTTGAGTATGCAGCTGATCTCCAAAGTTACACTTTGAAGCTTGTATTTGGAGTTGAAGAATAAAGTCTCTAATCTTCTGGTTGGGAGAACGAACCAGTTTGTTGAACTGAGCCCTCTCTCTGGTCTCAAATGTAGTTACATGAAAGTGATTTATAAGAAGTTCACGGAGTTTATAATATGGCAGAGAAATGGTTTATCTGGAAATGACAGAGTCTTTACTAGGCTATATGCATCTAGCCCAATAGCAGTGATGAAATGTGCTGGAATTTTGTCATCCCGAACATTCTTTGAAATGCACCACGCATCGAAGCATTCCAAATAATCAGCAATCTCCCGCGGAGAACCATTAAGAGGAAATTTTCCCAGGTTATTTAGTTCCATCGCGACGCCAATTTGTAGTAATTTATTGTAATCGTAGTATTAGTATTTCGAGATGACCGAATTACAAGAATCCAAACAAAACACAGAGAGGGCGGAATTCAGGAATTTGTATTTAGCGGAATTCTAATGCAATTCATATATGAAACATATTAACAATCAACAGTAAGTATTTAAACAATACAGAGATAGAAATTGTCAATCACCACACAAAGTTTCTAACAAAATTTATTGTTCATAACCATCTCATCAATTATAATCACACAACTTCAAAACTTGAGTTTTATAGTTCCCTTTGTTCTCTCCTATTCATCGTGGTAGGATGTGGTAGTAGAATTTTCCAGATATCTGGGACATGTATTGAATGATTTCTATTACACGTGTTTACAGTTGATTTGATAAAGAAAGCTTCTGTTATCAATCTCTCCCTCCACACTGTTGTTACATTAGATTTTAAAACTGTCATCTTATCCCATCACCCTATGCTTGTGGTTGAGTATTATTACATGTAGTGAGTGCTCTAGCTGAACTATTCTCCTAATTTTGCTAGGTTTTTATGCTCCGCTAGTCCGACTGCCCCCGTTCTACTACTTTCACCTAAGTTTATGACCTGACAATCATTCCAGCAAGGGTATTAGATAAAATAAATTGCCTTGTTTAATTGGCTCCACAGGATTGACCCATTAACCAACGAAGCTTGCTCCTAATTGAGCTTATGGGTTTGAATGCCAACCACTTTTATTCCTGCCTTGTTAAGAATTCTCCACCATAAGGTTTCCGAGGTTCATTCTTCGTATGTGAGGAAGTACTACTGACGATTTATATTCCCTATTCTCGGTGTTGTCATTATCCTGTTCATGTTTGACATGCTAGTCGTCATTAATGTCATCATTATTATCATCATTACCACTACTATTGTTATTTATTTTTACATTTTCCTACATCTTTTCTGACTAATTTATCAGGGTAATTACTAAGCTTCAAAGCTTCTCTTATATGCCTCACTTCCTGTCTTAGATTTTCCTTAGTACTACTTAGTTTTGTGCCCTATTATTTAAACGTTTCACCAATCCTATTTTCACTGGCATAGGATGGGATGATCGAAAGTCCGAATATCTGTTTGAATTTGTGCGTTTCCTGTAAACACACACTAGTGTGTTTAACTTTCCATCTTCTTTCCATTTTACGCTTTCCAATTCATCATAAGTGAATTGAATTGCCTTCACCTTTGAGTTGATGTGTTCAAAAAATCTATGTATATCCTGTGTTCTAAGTACAGTGAATGTGTCATCTACATACCTCCAACAAACATTTGGGGTGGGGGTGAAAGTTTTAATCGCTATGTTTTCCCACCTATGCATGAATATATATTTGCCACTACTGAAGATATTGGTGATCCCATGGCAACTCCTTCAGTTTGTTTGTACATTTTCCCTTGGAGGAATTTCAATACTGTATAAGCTAAGTCCAAATGAGTACACCACTGATAAGCATGGCCTCAAATCAGCGAAACTGTCATGCAGTGTTAAGATCAATACGATTACCTGGCTGGCTAGCAAGCACTATTGGCTGGTGTGGGTGGCATGTAACTACTCATCTGAATTAATCAGTAGTATATAGTTTTATGCTTTCCAGATCGTCATTTAGAGTATCAAGTAGATCGAATGTTGTAATGTGAATGATTTCCGTTTCTAAAGAAAATCGCGATAAAATAGTCACCTCGAACTGGGTGTATTGCTGTGGTGAGACCTGTTTGCTAGCCAAAACCGTAGACAAAAATTTACGTCAATGTTTACGTCCCAAATCGGGGTCATGTTGTTGTGATCGTTCCAGTCGCTATTATTCCAAGTCTGAATTTTGTGTCTACCTCAGTCAGTGTGGGAGAGATAATTCCAGTTGGTGATCACTTGGTTATAATGTCATCTTGTGGAGGCACATTCTAGTCAATTCAACTCAGGACCACATCATGGCAACACCAACAATAAACATTTTCCCTTTCAGTATACAACATCAGATATATGAGAAAGCTTAGACAATAATATTTAACATCTTTAATTTGCACAATAAAAAAAAACAGATTGGCAATCATGAATTATATACAATAATGCTACCATTCAACTGAACAGCTATTAGACAATCACAACCGTTTGAAACAAATTGATTTGGTACCCAAACAACATCTGTAATAGAAGAAATAGGAGACTTTGGAATTTCAGGTAACTGTTTCATCGCTGTTGTCATAAGAGCATAGGATGATGAAGAATGCTTACGTCTCGGTGATTCCCATAGAACTGGACTAGACTGTGACCATGACCCACTAGCCAGCAGGGTACCTGATGGGTTATAGGCTAAACCAAAAGGATGACCCTGAAGCTGAAAATAATAGAAGCAAACATAAATGTGAACTTCATTCGAAATATTTTTCATCCAACAAATATCATTGAAATAATTTAAACAGCCTACAGAACATTAGAAAGTAAAACAAAGTAAAGTGAGCAAAATGCACGGTTAAAAATTACAAAATTTAGGTTGGTGGGGGGGAGTGAGTTGATAGGTAAGTAAAAAAGGTTATAATCATAAATCCCAGTGATAGCTGCTTATTTTGTTTTAATCCATTGCGTTCCTCGTGGAACACACGACTACAAGCTTAAAATTCCTATTGTGGTGAGAGCTGTCTGCTAACCTAAAGTTGGTAGACAACAATTTACGTCAATGTTTACGTTCCAAATCTTGGTCATGAGAAAAAACAATAACAAAGTCTAATATAGTGGAACCCAACAACCAATCACAGAAGAATGGGTACTGAACAAAGAGTACTCTTTTCAATAACCTCTTCACCATCAGGCTCTCTCTCTCTCTCTCTCTCTCTCTCTCTCTATATATATATATATATATATATATATATATATATCCATCCCTAATAGTGAATGAATGAATGAATTAGTGTTATGAACAACATTAATGTTGCTGTTTAAATAACATCGAATCAGTAATATTGATAGATTACAGCTAAATAGCATCAACATGAAATAAGCTGAATGTCAGAAAAAATTAAGAAAGATAATATTACAAGTTCACGAATTTATAGTCTCTACTGAAGGCCAGCCACGGCAGTGGTAGTGGCTAACTGGACTTGCTTCTTTTGAACACAGAGAACTGGTTGTTTGAGGCGAATTTCAATAGCCTCTGCTGTTTGAAGTATGCGGTGCTTCGATGATTTTGGCAATTTATTAGGCACCCGGTAGACGATGATGGCGAAGGATTCTTCCATGCTGGCTGGCTGGCTGGTCTTCTGTCCGGTTTGCACCAGATTGTCCAATATCGAACTGTTAATGGTTTTCACTACACCTTTACTTAGCCATAGTGGGAGATGTTCCCGAGCGAGCACGAAAAATCTAGTTCCTAGAACAACGGCCAATCACAGGGGACTTAGCGTGGGCGGATACGATTCGCAGAAATATCACCTAACTGTCTAAAAACGGCAACGAAGAGGTGAAAGAATAACCTTCATCAGGAAAACAACCAATCAGAAGAGGTTGTTCCTCCACTGACAATAATGTACATAAAAATCTATAAATATCTGTTGATTTTCTTAATAAACGATCTGTTTCCTGGCCCTTGTCTTCCGTCGTTACACAATAACAGTGGAGTTTATGCGTTTTTTTACGGGGTGAGATAGCTAGCCTAACGCCCAACCTTCCCTCTTTACGAGACCTACTACCAGCTAAGCGCGTTTTAGAAGAGAGTCGGTCTGGGAATTGAACCAAGGACCACATGAGGCATGAATGGCTAGCATTCTACCAATGGATCACTGATATACGATAGCTACTTATGCTGATCCCTTCTAATTTTCCACTTTCTTCTCTTCTACTTCTAAAACAGAATCACGCAGCACATTGCTTTTTAAACAACAATGAATAAGTCAAGTAGCGAAGTTAGTGGCATAGTTCAGAAATCTTACGTTTCTTCAAACTTCCAGATATACTTTGTTTTGATGAGTGCCAATTAGTAGAAATCATTTTTGGATCACAGTTTTAAGCTGAAATGACTTGTACCATCGAAAAGTCAACAAGTATCGTGCCACTTACCTACTCAGATGAGTGAGTGAGTGAGTAAGTGACCAGAAGCTGATTGACATACTAGTGTGGTGAGAGCAGCCTGCTAGCCAATCGGTTGACAATAATCTACGTCAATGTCTAGGTCACTAATATGGGCTGTGAGAAAATATGAACAAGGCTGTTTCAACAACTAATCACAGCAAACTTAAACGTGGGCAAATATGATTCGCAGAAAGGTGGCTCCACTTTCCGAGGAACTCGAAAACAACCAATCAGAAGACTGCGTTTGTCTACTTGACTAGGCTATAATAATGTATGTAAAATTTATATAAATACGTGTTGATTTCCGTAATAAAACGATCTGTTGCCTGGCCCTTGTCTCCTGTTGTTACACTAGCTTGCCTTGTAACAAGAGGGTCCTGGGTTCAAAACCCAGTGGGTGCGTACTGCCGATGAGTCTCAAACTAGGATGAAACAGCTGGCTGTCTAGTACCCTAGCGCTGGTTTTCAATGGTTCTCCAACTGATATCAATCCGCGGGCTTACTTGAAATTATTATTATTATTAGTAGCAGAATACAAGAGCCAAGCAACGCATCGTTTATTGAGAAAATCAACAGATACTTTTAGATTTTTATGCATATTATTGTTAGGTTGTTGTCTTGCTGAAGGTTATTCTGTACTGCTTGTAACCGTTCCTCAGAAAGTTAAGCCATATATCAACGAATCTTATTTGCACACGTGAAGTCTTCTATGATTGGTTGTTGAGTTCCTCAAGGTCAGGCTTTGTTATTTTTATGTCATAACCCCGATTCAGGATGCGAACATTGAAGTAAATTGTTGTCTGCAATTTTTGGCTTGCAGCTAGCCCTCACTTCATTACTACTACTACTAATAATAATAATAATAGATTTTTTTCTCAACAAAATGTTTACACAGTGTACAGAATTTTCAGTAATTCAATTTACTGCGTAATATTCTCTCTCTTCATCCAGAATACCTTCAAATTAAAAATGCCAATCTATAGAGTGATATCATGTGACGTGATGCAGTTCCACTTGAAGGATGGATTATAAACCCCCTAATCCCCACCGTAATACTTTTTCTTAATCTCGAAGAAATACGCATAGGTAGTTTGAAGAAAGCTAATTAAAAATGCGCAAGAGAACATTCTTCTTTTCAAACATATGGAGATAACTGAATAGTCAAAAAATCAATAAAAATGAGAAAAAATATGATGCATTGTTTTTGAACAGAAATTCAAGTTAGTCGAGTGGATGATTCTCTCTTTTCAAAATGGGGGAAACAAATGCCAATTCCTGAGAGAACAATCTTTTCTCTCTCTCTCTCTCTCAGATGGTGACTACTTATTGTCTCAATCGTAAGTTAATGTGGGCGTTAGATCAAGGGCAAATCTTACAAATGAATGAACTAAAAAAATACACAGGCGTATACATATATAGGCCAAGTTAAACTTTAAGCACCACAAACTATTAATCAGCGCGAATGACCTCGAATGTTCCAATGATGTTCATACACGCGAGTTCAGGGTTGTATAGAGCTTGATTCGTATCAAACGAAGTTACACTTGCAGTTAGATGAGAATAAGGTTTTGCGGTATGGCCTGGATTTGGGGTTGCTTAGGAAGAAGAGATATATCGCCTCATGAAAAATGGAGAGAATTACTTCGTTGTTAGGCGGAGAAGCTATCGTCGTACAGTTGGACGAAACTGTGTTACTGAAGAAAAAATACAACCGTGGTTGTGAGCGAGCCAACAATGTTTGGGTGATCGGTTTATATGACACGTTCCTGCGGAAAGGATTCATGGAGAGAATACCAGACAGAAAGTCTACTAATACTTTAGTACCTATTGTCACTCGACTTGTGAAACAGGGATCCATTGCGCATATTGATGAATGGAAAGGTTATAACTCTCTGTCATCTATTGGATATGTTCATCACAGAGTGAACCATTCTAGGGATTTTGTGGATCCAATTACAGAAACACACATGAATTATATAGAAGGATTTTGCGGAAGATTAAAAAATAGGATGAGGGCTATACATGGATCTCATTTATAGTCATTTGGATGAATATATGTACAGAATTTGGTGTGACTTCTCTATTGAATCTCCTATGCTAGACTGGGAGATGTTTCTGTTACATGTTAGAGAAAGATACTCTATTTAATTGAATTTTAGATTTTCCCTTCGATTGAGTGGACCGAAGTCCTCGGTCTCAGATCGACATGTCGGCTTCTTGAGCAGATGCTTCGACGATGTCTGGGCATTTAATTAGTATTTAATTGGTGAATGGTGACTAGCAGTGGAATCCAGGATGCGCATTTCGTCCTATTTGGGACTCGTCAGCTGGATGTACCTGCATTTCTCAGTGAGTGATGATGTTCCCACCGAGGCTCGAACCCAGTGCCCATAGTTTCAAACACCAAAGCGTTATCCACTAGACCACTTGGGCCACGAGAGCCACCTCTTGTGCAACGGGTCACATTGATTTAATCGACGGGAAAACCTAAAATTCAATTGAATCAATGTGACCCGTTGCACAAGAGGTGGCTCTCATGGCCAAAGTGGTCTAGTGGATGACGCTTTGGCGTTTGAAGCTATGGGCACTGGGTTCGAGCCTCGGTGGGAACATCATCACTCACTGAGGAATTCAGGTACATCCAGCTGAAGAGTCCAAATAGGACGAAATGCGCATCCTGGATTCCACTGCTAGTCACCATCCGCCAATTAACTTCTAACTTATGTATGTAATTTTTACGAGTTGATCACGGATTGATATCAGTTAGAGAATCATTGAAAACCAGGGAGTACTGGACAGCTGCTGTTTCACCTAGTTTGGGAATCATCGGCAGTACACACCCACATAAAAACATAACTAATCCTTACAATCCAAACTATAGAAAATTAATCTGATGCTCGCTAGTGACTTGCTACAGGTTGGAGTTTCCTGAGTTCTAGTGAGAAGTCGTGACCAGTAAGGTCCAATTAGATGTCACGTGTGTGGATGCATGTCCCACCAACGACAATGGTTGGGGTCGCGTTAAATCACGAATTGGTAGAAGTTAGAATTCATGAGCCATTGAATCGGGTCCCAGTGGCTGAATGCTATACAACCTTGCCTTGTAACCGGAAGGTCCTGGCTTCGAACCCTGGGGCAGTGGGTGTGTACTGCCGATGATTCCCAAACTAGGATGAAACAGCAGCTGTCCAGTACTCCCTGGTTTTCAATGGTTCTCTAACTGATATCAATCCGTGATCAACTCGTAAAAACATAACTAACCCTTACAAATAAAATAAAGATCGTGACAATTACTCAGCTAAATAAAAAACAAAAGTGTATACTAATGACCAATCATATTTAAATAGGTCATGTAGTCCATGGTAGGCGAAGGTCGAAGTCTATTGATTTTTATTGTACACATAGTTTAGTATGAATGTAATTAATCCCCCAAAGTGCTTCCATCACCTTCAATAACCAACCTTGAATTAGAGTTATGTGGTGAAATAATTGTGAAACAGTCATTAATTAATATTGATTTTGTGACCTGACATTAATAAGTGTTTTGCAATGGATGATGATGCTGGATTTCTATTCAGATTAATCGCGTTGGGATTTTCTATATGATTTAGTAGCCATTTCGGAACATGTTCCTTTCGACGACGATAATGGAACATTCTGTTGGTTCTACCTATATATGTGTCACCGCAACAACTGCAGGTGAACTTGTAGATACAGTTTGAAGTAGATTCCACAGAATTTCGTTCTTTAATCGTAGGTACAGGGATCGAAAATGTTCGATAAATGAGAAAAAGAGATGCGGTGGCGTAGAATGTGAGTTTGATGGCTGACCGAAGTCTTTGAGCTGTCAACTGCATAATCTGGTCGCGCTTGAATGGTAGATTAATAAAGATAGCTAGCTTTCTTTGATACAGAAGCTGTCTTTTCGAGATGTGGTTTTTCTTTACTGTGACAAGTGATAAAGTTTTCCGGATAACCATTAGATAATAAAACTGAATGTATATGTCGAAGCTCATTCATCAATGTGTCACTCGTGCATATTTTTCGGGTCCTTGAGAACAAACATTTCATTAGGGAACGTTTATACTGGTTAGGAACAAAACTGGCAAAATGAAGATATTGTCCACTCCACGTCTGTTTACGAAAAATAGAGCGCTGAATCGTTCCATCATTTCTCCTAGTCATAGTAATATCCAGGAAACCGAGTTTGTTATTCGATACTAGTTCGGAAGTCAGTCGGATATTTGAATGAATATGATTAAATTGGGTAATAATAATAATAATATTAACAGCTTTATTCCAAACGGTATTTGTGGTACACGTATGGAATTTTCAGCGCGCATTACAATATATTGCATCTAATTACCTCATAAATTTTATAAGATTTTTAAAATTAAAATAAATGAAAAAAACCAACGCAAAAAAAATAAAAGATAAATAAAAATTAAAAAAAGAACAAAAACAAAAATAAACGGCGTTGAGTTTACATTTCAAACAATGCACCACAGGATATGAAATATAAAGTTGATGTGTGATAGAAGATGAGAACAACAATAGTGTAATAGTAACGAGGAAAGGAAAACAAAAACTAATGGGACTATTTGTTAGACTGCCGCAGTAAGTTGATTGTGTCATACCTAACGGATTTCTCATCACATAACAGCTGTGCCAGATGTGGTATTGTGGAGATTTTGTACTTAGCAGTCCTAGCATATAGCCTCCTCTATAGCTGCTTCTAGTTCTACCAGATGAAATGCAAGGAGACAACTGCGTATAGAGAGGATGCTTGGGGTCTGACAGTATAGTATTCGCTAGTTTCTTTCATGACATTATATGTCTATCCACAATAGTGTTAACCAGTTGGTTTAACGATATCAATGGATTTACTATTATTACCAATAATGAGAGTATTATCTACATAACGTTAATACAGCACAAATTATCCAAGCATACCTTGCATTTGTCTCTCCAATTTCGACATGTTAGTTGTAAAGCGGTTGTAAAGAAACTACGAAATGATATCATCTCGCAAAATTTGTCTTCTTAAAGCCTTATTCAAATGATAATAATGACCATTATTATTGATTATCATCGTAGCTTTATTCTGGGAGAAGTGTCTGCACAAAACTTTCAGTGTAACTTTTTGCCCAGTACACTTTTTTTTTTCATCCAGTACCTTCAAGGTAATACAGTAATATCAAGTAAGTAATATCGCGGTAATAGCTTACAGCGAGTTGTAATCTGAATTGGTGACAACTAGTGGTGTCCGTCGGCGAGGCATGCCCACTATCCTCATTTATATTCAATTTCATCATAGATGTACTAATCGATTTAACCCTAACTCACTTCAGCGACTCAGGGATTGACTTGTTACCACCAGGGAATAATCTCGTTGACCTAGAATATGCAGATGATATAGTGTTGCCTCCTAGGTGAAGACGCTGACAAAATAGAGCAGAATCTTCTGAACACCTTGAGCTGTAATCTGCGAATGTTTGGCATGCGATGATGTGAGATGATGCTACACGACTGACTTGACTACATTGACTCCTAGCTTAAAGAGAGGTAGGAATGAAGTAGTCAGAATGAAGTGTGTTGACCACTTCACTCACTTATTTGATGAGTTGCATCGGTAAACGTCAGAGGTTTGACCGCTGAGGAAATTTCACCACAAATACGAAAGGCTCGGCCAGAGTTTGCCAACTCACTCTATCTCTGGCTTAGTAGACGTGATATCCGACTGGGTGTCGATCAAAGGACGTGTGTACTACTCAGCAGTCCGTTCCGTCCTCCTCCTTTATGGCTGTGAGACCTGGCCATTAAGAGTGGAGAACATGAAAAGCCAGGCTAGATAGCTGTCTTTGATCATGGGTGAGAGCGTTCTATCCCCCGTGTCAGGTGATGATATAGTGGGTGAGCAATATTGAGGTCAGGCATCGGTCAAGTGATAGATACGTCAAGGAAGGGATATCAATAAACGAGGCTATGAAGTTACATCGGTTGAGAGAGATGCTTAGGATATGTATTACGTATGCAGACCTAGCCATCGATCGCCTTCCTTGACAACGGGCAATGTTAGCTGACATAGGGCGAAGGATCAGTCAATGAAATCCACAAGAGTTAGGAAAGTGTAGGCTTCCTGGATGGGGTTGTCGGGACGGTAAAAACCAATGAAGCTGCAGACAATCATCGGCGATATGGCTCAAAATCGTTCTCAATGGATCGCACAGATGCATCCACTCCTTGTGACATCATAATACCCGATAAAACTATATTATTTTCCGATATTACTATTTTTTTTTTGCTTCATATCTCTGTTAACTGTCTCTATTTTGCATTTCTTTTTACTTTTTTCTCTGGTTTTGTGTGCTACATGGAAGGAGTCCGACGACTCGAACTGCTGCACATCGGTATAAAGTTCTACGTTGAAACTAATCAGTCAGCCAGTAATATCAAGTGATGCTATGCTATTCGAACTGAAGCATAAACTCACTCCATTATACTACATTCTTCTGTTTCATCTCCAAGATATACTCAACCAAGTTTGAAGTGAACCTTATTTAAAATGTATTTGAGTACATTTTGAGACTCTAGAATATAAATGAGAGGTTACAACAATACAAAATAGTGGAAATACGAGCTCGCCTTGTAACCAGAAGGTCCTCGGTTCGAATCCCGATGGGTGCATACTGCTGAAGAGTCCCAAACTAGGACGAAACAGCTGTCCAGTACTCCAAGGTTTGTGCGTCTGTGGTACAGTGTTTGGGACTCTCGCCAACCATGCACATGGTCCGGGGTTCGATCCCCTGCGACGCACACCTGATATCAATGGTCGGCAGGCAAAATTTGGGCTACCGATATCACATGCTGAAAATTACATACTTCTACCAAAAATTACTGTGTGAAATCAAGTTGTAATCAGAAAAAATATGATGCATTGTATAGCGAATGAAAATTTAGTTAGCCCAGATAGGAATTCAACCAGGCCACATATGACAAAGTTGACGGTTAACTAATCTCTTTTGACTGTAAGAAATAAGAGTCAGTTTCTGAGAAAGCAATCCCTTTCAGATGGCGTCTACTAACTGTCCTAATAGAGTGTAAGTGAACACAACCTTCAGATCAAGATCAAGTTTTAAAGCTGAACAGATGAAAACAAACAGTCAATCATGTTTAAGAAAGTATATGATGATACAAACTAACTAACTAACTAACTAACTCACCTGATGACCTTCATAACGCCAACATTTTTCTAAATGATACGATAAACGATTACACGAGACTGCTGTTAATGATGTCGATCTTTTCATGTTTCTTCCACTAATTTCTATAATTGTATCCCCCTGACTTTGTACAGCGAAACGAACATGTTCATTAGGATATGGTAACGGTTTCAATGCCATTCTATTGCATCCCCAACGTTCCTTATAATTAATATGAAGAAAAAAAATGGAATAGAAGTTAGACTATTGACACCATCGTGGCGGGATCACTTCAAAGCGCTGGAAGGTAAATTTTGTCCCCCAACATCCAAGTCCACTCTAACCCTAATCTATCTTTAATCGAACTGTAACCCTAATCTATTTCTTAACCAACCGTAATATCTCCCCAGTTAGGTTAACTTAATCTCAACTATCCTCCCTAGCCTAAATATAACGTTAATCTTTACATAAGCTAACCTTAACTTATTCAGATATCTTGTTCACCATCATTACACATTATTCAACAAATTTCCTTATCAATTTGGTATTATTTACCCAGTTTTACTACCTTCCCCTGACTGGGCATTTCAACGTCATCGGTACGATCACGTCTGTTGGGTGTCTGCAGTTTAACTTCACACCAAAAGTTTCATTTCTTTGAGGAACAATTTAGTAACTGTAGGCTCTGTAGGCTAAAGGACTCTGTAGGTTGACCCAATTAAACAAAATAATATAATTTACAAAATACCTTACAATGACTGTGAGTTTAGTCAACTACATAAGTCAGTTAAACTAGTAGATCAGAAGTAGTGAGATTATCAGATTATAAGAATTTAGCTAAGATTAGAATGGTTGACTCCGAGAAGATAAGTAATTTAGAAAAAAGCTGAGCGATCGCACTACATGTATTAACACACAACCATACAATAGCGTGGGTGAGCATGAGTCAAAATTCTAAAAAGTAATATAGGTAGGTGGAGACAGAGAGAGACAGGTGGTTGATTACTGAATCCTGGTTCATCGAGTCTATACAGCGGTTAGGACGCTCGCCGACCATGCACATGGTCCGAGGTTCGATCCCCGGCCACAGACGCACTCCTTTACCTCGCTAAGCCAGAATAAATGCTGGTAAAGTGGAAGGTTGGGCATGAGGCTAGCAACCCCATCCTGTAAAAATAAACACCACTGCTACAGAAACTCCAAGTCACTAGCTTGAAGCCCTATGTTCCACTGGAAACGTGAAGCAAAAACTATTATTATTATTATTATTATTATTATTAACACCCAACACATAGTACAATAGAAGTGACTCAGTACAAATACCAGAGATATCTATGGAAGATATTATTACCGCTAGTCAAATCAGAGGATAATAAATAACGTTAAAATATACACAATACACATTATAACATTCTAACATGTTACTTATTATGACTATAAAAACATTCGTCTTCTTTCCCATGTGATTGTAATTGATCAATAACACTCATATTATCATTCCTGAATGTACATTATCCCATAATGCTTTTTATTCAAATATCGAGTCAATTCCATACATGTATATAAATGAAGCAAGAAAGTTGTGTGAGTAATGCCTTGATATGATTATAAATGGCAATAGTTTGTGCTCGAAACGTCATCAGTTAATGTTACTGTGTAGCACACTGTGTGACTTATCAAAATAAAATCTTATCCATAATGGAGTTATACTCTACCACAGTACCCAAGTTTTATATAAATAATCTTAGTGACTACAATTTCCACACCTATTAACTATCCTATTGGTGTTACATTGATACTCAAAAAATCTCTCTTAAAGAATAAATTAATATTCAAGTGTTGGTCCCAGTGGCTTAATGGTATACGAGCTCGCCTTGTAACCGGAAGGTCCTGGGTTCGAATCCCGGTGGGTGCGTACTGATGACGAGTCCCAAACTAGGACGAGACAGCTGTCCAGTACTCCCAGGTTTTCCAGTGGTTCTCTAACTAATGTCAGCTCATGATGAAATCCTGAAATAAATTAATAGCTAGTCGGGTGAGGGTGGTGGTACTTCTCTTGTTCGAAGTCACTTGAGTGAAAACTAAAACGTGAGTTAATCATAGTTGGCATAAACAGAATTTTGACAAAAGTGTTTATTGTAAAAGATAATACTGTTGACCAGAATAGTCCATTAATGCCAAGCGTGAGTGGACAACCTAGTGAAAGGTGTATACTGTATGCTGAACGATATCTGCTACCCACATACTCTTTAAACGAAGAAGCAACGGTGAAGGTAAACTTCAAATATCCAACAGCCGTCAACCCCCACCTTCCCCTTTCCCAAATGACGTCTGTCAGAGCAACGCAGTCAAAAGAAGTAAATAACATGATTCCCATGAGAAAAGTGTCTCTATTTACCAACTGATGACAACCTAGCAGAAACATCCTTCATCCCATGACGACAAGTCGTCATAGACTGACCACCATCCCGCTCTTACCATCAGCGACCAGTACGGAGGCCTCTGAGATGACATTCGTAGCTTATGTACATCGACTACCGAAGCCGATGCTTCCAGATCATGGTACTCAATGAATAGTGATCTCCACCGTGTCCAGGCACATTCTACAGACCTCAGAACCACTCACACGACGATACCTTCGGATGCAAGCAATTCTAAAGAGACAGTGATGACAGAATACACAAAGTCACTTCACATTGATAGTTCGGAGAGGCAAAGTACCCCAGATGTAGAATAGACTGTGATCACCGAAGAATGGTAACCCCAATATTTGACAGACAGACTGACGTCGTGATGGTGCCCGAGATGACCTGATTTGGGATATTCCACCCTATCTTTGGCTATACGATTAGAGATTTCATCCGTCACACTACCATCAGCACTCAAAAAAAACTACCTAGATACACGAACATGTCGACGACTTCAAGTGGTTCACCTACAACGGTGAGTGTAGGTAGAGACACATGCCAATCTTGTAACAATACTTTGTATTTAGACGGTGCAAAGCACATCCTATACTTACAGACATTAATCGAAAATTGATTGGGTGGGATTTAGGCAGCCTGAATGCTATCTCACACAGCTACACGATATCCTCTCGCCATTTACAGCTAACTTTATTGTGTCAAAGTTGAAATGTTGTTTAACAACCACAATGAACCATACGCTACAACAACAATAGTAACAAATAACAGGTAAGATTATACAAACATGTGTACATATTCGCATTCATACAGACACAAACAAAAGTCCCAAGTATTGATTTCGTCATGAGGCAGTATTCGTTGGTAGAGGATCACTGAGAATTGTAAACGGCTGAACAGGTATTTAATCCGCCTTTGATACTCCTTAGTAATGTGCACCACTAATAACAACAACTCCACACTCCTAAGACCTTCATCTTCCTAGATGACTACACTTACGGCATTCAGACACCTAGTCAGGAGTTTCAATAACCTACCTATGGACTCTACTTTCTGCCAGTTCGTCATATACGGCCAGGCATCACCAACTAATCCTATCCATCGTAGAAGTTCATTAATAAATACTCTAAAGAAATCAGCCCCTGCAAAACTATCCAAACAGTTCCGAAGAAATCTGTCTATATCAGTTTGCCATTCAAAGGAAATGATGTACAAGAAGTAGTCAAACGAAGACTCGATGAAGCTATCAAGAGAACTTATCATGCTGCAAAACTTGTTTTTCCTTAACACCACCACCACCACCCAGCGAGTGCTTCAACAATCTGGGAAAGACCAGTCGCCAATCCTGGACACTTCAAACTGCGTATATCAATTTGAAGAGTGTGTTTGTAGAAGCAAATACGCATAGGTCATACAGAAAGGCAATTGCCTACTCGCATGATGCTGAGCATTTTCCGAAATGGTTGAAAACAGCTGAATGCAAAGTGCCAAAATCCTCAATAACAAAACATATTTATGGACTATGGACATGATATCGACGCTGTCAGTCAAGTCATTCACTATTGTCAGCAGACAAAGAAACAAGAAGATGCTTTCAATTGTAGAGGTTTGTGAAATTCGGGTTTATAAACAAGGTCTCTCTGTACATAAGGAGATGGTCGTCACTCTTAATCTACTATGGTAATCTACATTTTACTTATTATTATTCTTGATTCATTTAAAAATATGCTTTATCAGTAGGATTATCTTAACTCACTTCAACACTACTATTGTAATTGTTACTATAACTATTACTATTGATATTAGTCTATTTGCAATTCTTGTTATATTCCCTAATGACTAATTGTTTATCTAATTGATGTAATTGAAGCGTAAGGCACTTTATCTTGATTTCTATCTCCTTTTATCTATTTGAACGTGACCTAAAGAAAACATTCCCACCTGTCTTTCTGCATGACTAATTCAATGTAGTTTGTTTGCTAATCAATTTTATATCTCCCAATGTAATCTTGAAAGTATATATATCCATGTTCTACCGAAATTTGACGAATTCATTAAAACACAAAATAATTGAGCAGCAAAGAATATCCCCATTTCGATAATTTCCTCCTCTTCTAGCTCTACAATTATATATATACATGTATGTTTATATACATAGAATATTCTAGAATAGTAGTTAATAACAATATTAGTGTTTTTTATATGATATCCATTTGTAAAGTAAGATCAATGCAATTATAGTTCATTAAAGATGCATAAATAATAATTATTATTATAGAAATATAATAGCAAATAGAATATCAAATAAAATTAGGAAAATTCCACAAAATTCAGGATCATTCGAACCTAGATGGCCAAGGTGAGGATAATGTCTGAACTAGCTTCTTTTGGATGCACAAATTAGGCTTGTTAATGTGGATCCCAACGGCCAGCCTCAGCGATATTTAGTAGTCGAACTAACTCTTAAGGCGAAATTGAGATTCGTAGGTATGCGGTAAATGACCCTGAAAGCCGCCTGCTTAACGTCAATCTTGTGTCTTCTGTATCCACAAGATGAGTGAGATAGACAGAATAGCGCTGCGAATAGATTTTTTTTGTCCTTTGCTTAACCAACCACTGTACAGGGTGATGTTCGGAAATCTGACGAGAAACACGCCTAATTGTATGGCCTATGCAACTGGCTCACTCCACAGGAGCAGTTAAATTAGTAGATACACATGGAAGAGGCAAAATAAATGTTTTCAAGTATACGGTAGTGTCCATCATACGTGAACACTACTGTAATAGCGAGCCAGCTGTTCAGTAGTAGTGCTCACACTCCTTAGTTTTTTTATAATGATTTCATCCTATTAAATGGAGACTCTGATTCATGAAGAAACATCAACGCACACACACACACACATACACTGAAATCACTCAATTTTTCATCTCAATCTTATAAAATGATGAGAAGTTAATAATTACAAAGCTCACTTGATATAATTGATGTGATATTGGCTTAGTGAAACGGATATCCCATACACCAACATTATGCTCACAATTATTACGATCTATTGTATCTGAACATGAACTGAAATGATGTTCATTGAGCCATAACAGATCAGCAATCTAAAACATAAAATTTATGTCTTCATTATTATTGCTATTATTAATAAAATATAAAGCTGACACACTACGGGTGTGGTGAGAGCAGGCTGCTAGCCGATTGGTTGGCACTAATCTACGTTAAGGTCTAGGTCACTAATATGGGCCGTGAGAAAATATGAACAAGCCTGAGTCAACAACCAATCACAGCAAAGTTAACGTGGCAAAATATGATTCGCAGATAGAGAACTCTATTTGTCAAGGAATCCCGAAACAACCAATCAGAAGCCTGCGTTTGTCTACCTAAACAACCAATCAGATGACTGCGCTTGTCTATAATAATGTAGTTGAAAGATGTATAAATACGTGTTGATTTTCATAATAAAACGATCTGTTGCTTCGCCCTTGTCTTCTGTTGTTACATTTGGTGTCGCTGCCAGGATGTCAAATGGCACAGCGTCTTGGAAGAAATTGGTTGAACGACTAGTTTCCGAGTTTGACAGCGAAACAGACAGACAGCTAGCAATGCAGCAGTTCCGGTCAATGAAGCTTGGACCTGATGGAGACCCGCTAGTGTTGGCGGTGAAACTGACTAATCTACTTCGACGCGCGCTTCCCACTTTAGATGAAGAATCAGAAGCGCAGTTACTGTCTTCCCAATTCATCGAGAGTGTCCCAGACCACATTTCTCAGCGATTACAACTGGTTAACGCAACGCAGCCGATGGATATTAGCGAGCTGGCGAAGGTGACCAGACAGCTGCTGAGCACAACGGTAGCCGCTATAGACCAACCAAAACCAAACGAATATGAGCAGAAAATTGAAGCATTGCAGCGGGAAGTGGCGGCGTTAAAGTTGGCTGATAGAAAAGACCGGTGTTTTGAATGCGGTAAGCCGGGACACTGGAGAAGATACTGCCCAGAAAGGCGGAAAAGAAAAAATTTCAGACGGTATAATGCTTGTTCTTTCTTTCGTATGAACCTAGATTTAGTGGGGGCTATTGAGAAAGGCGCTCTGTATTCGAAGTTGCGAGTGAATGATCGAGAAGTAGTATGTTTGATAGATACAGGGGCGGCCGTGTCGTTAATAGATAAGAATTTATGTAAGAGTGTTAGCCCGTGTTCATTGACAGTACAAACAGTAGGCGGGTATGTGTTGCGTATCACGGGTAGATCGAACTGTACGGTCGTTGTTGGTGGCTGCGAGGTGACGTTTCCTTTCATTGTTGTACCCGAACTACAGCGAACGATATTAGGAGCGGATTTTCTGCGTGAGATTGGTGCCATAATCGACACGCAAGCGAACGTGGTGGTCACGAAATACGGGCATATCAACATGTATGAGACCAGCGAGATAGCAGCGATTAAGCTGCCGACGGTACACAATGTGACAGAGTTAATTAGTAAATACGATCATCTGTTCACTGGAGATGGCGACCCATACGGTTATTGCGATAAGGTGAATCATGAAATTCCGTTAAGTGATCCGAAAGTAAGGTCATTTACAACGCGAAGAGTTCCATGTCATCTGGAAGGCGAAGTGGAGCGACAAGTGCAAGAGATGTTAAAAGATGACATTATTGAGGAAGCTGATAGCCCGTACAACTCTCCAGTGCTGTTAGTAAAAAAAGCGAATGGGAAGTATAGATTCTGTGTTGATTTTCGACAGTTAAACAGTATGACAGAGTTAAGACCGTGTGCCATGCCAACAGTGGTAGAAACTTTAGATCGCCTACAAGGTGCGAATGTGTTTTCGGTTCTCGATCTTCGCTCAGGATACTGGCAGATACCGATAAAACAAGGTGATAGAGATAAGACGGCTTTCATCGTGGGTCAGACACAATATCGATTTAAACGCATGCCGTTTGGACTAGCAGGTGCACCGTTTACGTTCAGACGACTGATGAAGCTATTACTTAGGAACTTGAAAAACGTGGAGGTTTATGGTGATGATCTCGTCATATACAGTCAAAACGAAAACGATCACGTCAACCATGTAGAAGCCGTGCTGCGACGCATCGAAGAGTTTGGACTACGCGTCAACAAAACCAAGTCCCAGATAGCCAAAAAGAATGTTACTCTGTTGGGACATAAAGTGGGAAATGGTGAGATTAAACCACTGCCGGAGAAAATTTTGACGATTAAAACGATTCCAGCCCCGAATTCAAAGAGAAAACTGAGACAATTCTTGGGTAGAGCAGCGTTTTATAGCCGCTTCGTGAAGAACTTCAATGAGATAGCAGCCCCTCTATACAGGCTACTAGGTGAGCCAAAGTTTGTTTGGTCGGAAGAATCGCAGAGGACATTCGACAGAATTAAACAGCTGCTCGACCACCAACAAATGACGCTAAAACTACCTGTGCCAGGAAGACAGTTCACAGTGTGCACAGATGCCAGTGACTACGCTATAGGTGCGGTCCTAAGACAGGACGAGGGAATCGTTGAGTATGCCAGTAGGGTTTTGACACTCGCAGAGAGAAAGTATTCAACGATAGAGAAAGAATGTTTAGCAATGGTATGGGCAGTCGACAAATGGAGACCTTATTTACTCGGCCGGCGGTTCCACATCGAAACTGATCATAAGCCGCTACAATTTTTGAAGACAGCGAGAGACCCACGGGGGAAGTTGTCACGGTGGATGTTGCGTCTTCAGGAGTACGATTTTACGATCTCACACGTTCCTGGAAGTGAAAATGTCTTGGCAGATTTGTTATCGAGACCAGAAGATGAGTCTGAGTTGCCCGAGGTCGCTTACGGAGTGCATGCAGTAGAACAAGACCCACTAAGACTTGCACGTAGGCAGAGGTTGGACGATACGCTGAATACAGTAATACAGGTGATCACCAACGGAATAGAAGTGGATCAAACTACGGCGAGTAAGGAGCTAACCACACTACTCAGACAGAGGGATCGACTCAGAGTGAATGCCTACGGGACTCTGACCTGGCGAGAGAACGACGGAAGCTGGCTGGCTGTCATACCTCAATCGTCGCGCCACGACATGATAGAAGAATGTCACCAGCTAGCGCATACAGGCGTGGCCAGAACGACCGATCTCCTAAGACAAAGTATGTACTGGCCAGGTATGAGAGAAGACGTAGCAAGATACGTACTTGGATGTCCACGGTGCCAGCTGATGAAAGGTGACCGGTATATACGACCACCACTTCAGTCGATTCCAGTTACCGCGATAGGTGACTTGTGGTCCGTAGATGTCATGGGTCCATTTCCTCAGACATCCAATGGTAATCAGTACCTCTTGGTGATGACGGAACACGCGACACGATGGGTAGACGCCGTAGCAATCCCAGACCAACGTGCAAGAACCGTGACAGATGCAGTAGTTAGACACATTGTTGCAGACCACGGCGTACCGAAGACAATACTGACAGACCAAGGTCCCTGTTTCGAGAGTGAAGAGTTTACTTCCCGTTTGCAACAGCTGGGCATCAAGAGGATCAGAACGACCCCATACCATCCACAAACGAATGGCCTAACGGAGAGAAACAACCGTACACTGAAGGAGTGGCTGGCCTCGAAGGGCGGGAACTGGGAAACGGAGCTTCCACTGATTTTACTAACACATCGGGCTACCACTCAGGAAACAACGAAGAAGTCACCCTTCCAACTGATGTATGGTAGAAAACCACGATTACCGGTACACAATGAGACCTGGCCCATGCACCAAAAGTGGAGTACGACGAAATTAAAAGCAGAGAGGAAAGAGGCAGTCAAGAATGTAATACGGAAGCAGCGCAGTGATGTCATGAAGTCTCAGATGAAAGAAAGGACGCAGTGCATTACCTTTGCAGTCGGGGACCAAGTGAAGTGTAGAGACAGGAGATATACAGTTGGAGGCGGGCTAGGTTCACGGAAACTCCTTCCAAAGTGGGAAGGACCATACACAATCACAAAAAGACGGGGTCAAGTATATACCATCCGAAGAGGTGATAAACAGAAACGAGTTAACGCCAGTCAGCTCCAAAGATGGGTACAGTGGGACAAGCCGGTCAGTAACAATCCTCAACTAGAGGATGTAGCACCCAGAAGGTCGGAACGTCTGCGCACGAAGCTATTTGACGGGGGGACGAGTGTGGTGAGAGCAGGCTGCTAGCCGATTGGTTGGCACTAATCTACGTTAAGGTCTAGGTCACTAATATGGGCCGTGAGAAAATATGAACAAGCCTGAGTCAACAACCAATCACAGCAAAGTTAACGTGGCAAAATATGATTCGCAGATAGAGAACTCTATTTGTCAAGGAATCCCGAAACAACCAATCAGAAGCCTGCGTTTGTCTACCTAAACAACCAATCAGATGACTGCGCTTGTCTATAATAATGTAGTTGAAAGATGTATAAATACGTGTTGATTTTCATAATAAAACGATCTGTTGCTTCGCCCTTGTCTTCTGTTGTTACACGGGTACCAAAGGACTCGCTACACTAAATCTCGTAGTCTGACCGAGGGATGGGATGGTTCCCAAACAACCAGATTGAAGCAAGTGGTTGGGCCACACAGCAACCCTGAGCCATCAATTCCAACTCTGATCTATAAGGTAGTCGAGCAGCGTCAGGAACTATGTTCACATTGTTTCCGGTGAGTTAAACAGGTTCGGCTTCTACAGCCCATGTACGTACAATACAGGTTTGGAATCAGGGTTTTCCAGTCCGTCCGTCCCCCTCCGCACCTCAGGTAGACCCGCACGTTTATCAGTCCGAATGTTGGTCGCGTTGGTCGTTCTCATTCTCTCCTTCACTTTTGTGAAGGAATACTCAGGCCTCATGAAGGCAGTGAATAGGACTTGCCATCTGGCTGGCAGGAACTACGGACACTTGGTGGCCATATGAGAAAATTTAGGCAAGGAGACCGAAGTAAACGCATTCTCCATTGTACCAGGTAATTTATGCAGGCAACTAAGATGGTAAAAGATTATAACATGTACTTATGAACTAATCAAATATATACATTATGGAAAATTTACTTAGTCATCAATACAACTGACATCCTTCAGTTTAAACTTTACTAAGACAAATGATGAAATGCTCTCATCTGAAATATAACTATTTATAGGATGATTAGTTTAGTGTATACGTGTACACTATATGCATTAAAACTGTTAAAGTGGTTAAGGTTATTTCAGAACACGATTTAAGCAGGCCAATACGTATATCCGGTGAATTCTTATCAGACATTACATGATTACATAATAAAATATCGATTTATAGACATTTGAAACTATGTGGATCAATAGAATCGAATATAATCGAAAAGGATGTAAGTAGAATAATGACAGTGATAATAGTAATGACCGGGATCACTATTCTAAGTCGAGGTTAAAAGCCATGGTAGGCAGAGGAATTGAACAGTGCGTCGGTGGCACAGTGGTTAGGACTCTCGCCGACCATGCACATGGTCCGGGGTTCGAGCCCACGCCGGCGCACACCTGATATCTATGGTCGGCCTGGGAAATTTGGGCTACCGATATCCATGCTGAAAATTCCATACTTGTACCAAAAATACAGTGTGGAATCAAGCTGTAAATCAAAAATAAAAAAAAAAAAATTTGCCGAACACGGAAACTGATACGGAAAATTATTATGATGACTGCCTCAGATATGCTTAGTGAATGAAGACGTAAACGCTTAGACGACTGAGGTGGTTTCTTATATAAAGTTGTAAAGGCGGAGTTTCTACCAGTCTTGTGATGTGTATCCACCCGGGATGCCAATATCAAAATTCTGATTGACTTTAGGGCTTCTTTGTCTAACCACGTTGGACAATGCTCAGAAAGGTGACAGTGGGCCTTCCAAGTAGTTCTACCTATACAACTGTTTCCACAAGAACAATTAAATTTATAAATGTACATTAATGAAGTGGTCAGACTCGATGGCCTATCCTCCACGTGTGTATTGGAATTCTATACAACGACTCGTGAATTTTAAACATAGTGTTACTACGAAAGACGATTTAGCTACTATTTTTTCGGAGTTTTGATGCCATTAATTCACTGGCTATTTCTCCTCTGAACACGGAAGTCATGCATAAATATACGTTTCTTCAGCACGGTTTGAAAGCATTTCTCTCGATCTGTTTTCATCAACGGAGACTTCAGCACACTTCAGCACATACAAAACGTTTTTCCTGATTTCATCGTCAAGAGTGTCAGTTGGGCAGATTTCTTACTGATGGGCGTATCGGCCAACCCCTATCTTGCCATCTTGTTAGCAGGACACATCAAAACATGACAAGAAGTCGTCTTTCTCTGTATTTTTAAAACCATGGATACTGAACAAAGAGTACTCTTTTCGATAACCCACTCATCACCAGGCTCTACTGTTACATATACATTATAGTGAATGAATGAATTAGTGTTATGAACAACATTATTGTTGTTTAAATAACATCGAATCAATAATATCAACAGATTACAGTTCAATAGTATGAACATAAAATAGGCTGGATGTCAGAAAAAATTAGGAAAGATAATATTACAAATTCATGAATTCATAGTCTCTACTGAAGGCCAGCCAGGGCAGTAGTAGTGGCTAACTGGACTTGCTTCTTTTGAACACAGAGAACTGGTTGTTTGAGGTGAATTTCAATAGCCTCTGGTGTTTGAAGTATGCGGTGCTTCGATGATTTCGGAAATTTATTAGGCACCCAGTAGATGATAGAGGATTTTTCAATGCTGGCTTGCTTTGTAGCAGGTCGGTTTGCACCAGATTGTCCAATATCGAACTGTTAATGGTTTTCACTACACCTTTACTTAGTCATAGTGTTTTATTTGTGAACTTAGTTTGTCGACTCTTAGTACGCAAATGTAAACACACAGGAACTCAGCATTTCGCTGTCCAGTATAACAATCAGTCAGACAAGGAAGTCGTGACCAGTAGGGTGCAGCACGTCGGGTGTGAGGACAAATACTCGCCGAAGACTTTGGCTAGGGGTCGCACTATGTAGTGAATTGGCAGAAGTTAGAATTCATGTGCCATTGGATCGGGTCCCAGTGGCTTGATGATATACGAGCTCGCCTTGTAGCCAGAAGGTCCTGGGTTCGAATCACGGTGGGTGCGTACTGCTGAAGAGTCCCAAACTAGGACGAAGCAGTTGGCTGTTCAGTACTCCCAGGCTTTCCAATGGTTCTCTAACCAATGTCAGTCAGCTCATGACGAAATCATGTAACCAATCAAATCCCTACAAACCAACACTTGAATTCAGAATCACTTAAACTGCAACACATTAGCAATTGATACTCATCACACAAGGGTTGGCTCTTGTCACCCACTGGTCTAGTGGACAACATGGTTTCAGCGTTTGGAAGTATTGGTTCCCGGTTTTGAGACTAAGTGTGAATACTATCACTCACTGACTCACGGAGATGCATTTACATCCATACTTTTTTTTTCCTTCACGTTCCCCAATGGAACATAGGGCTTCACTTCAAGCTAGTGGCTTGAAGTTTCTGTAGAAGTGTTAAATTTTACAGGATGGGGTTGCTAGCCTTATACCCAACCTTTTCTCTTTGCCAGCATTATTTCTGGCTTAGCGAGGTAAAGAAGTGTGTCGGCCGGGGATCGAATCCCGGACCATGTGCATGGTCGGTGAGCGTCCTAGCCGCTATGCCACCGACGCACATACATCCATACTGATCAGTCCCAAATAAGAATAGAGATCCACATCTCAGATCCCACCCACATACACACACACACACACACAACAAAAACCAACCCATTAAGGTACACATATTATAATTGTGATGTAATTTTTATAAACATGCACTTACCGATGCTTTTAATTCTGAATGAGAAAATTTCAGCTGAGGCCTCTGCCATGCTGATACACGTAGATCCCATAAACTAATCACACCACTCATACCACTGGTTAGCAGACAACTTGGATAGGCGGCTGATGGCAAGGCAGCACAACGTAACAATGGTCCAGTTTGTGATGAGACATTAAATTCTCTGACTCTTTTATCTATGCCAAATAGAAAATAGGATTCCTTATTTGTGAGTAAAACTTGGGAATTGTGGAAGTATGTAGCTTCATATAATGAAAACAAAAAAACACATAGTTCAGCGAAGAGTCTCTTTTCGGAGGCGAATTCGTTCACACATAGCCTGTACAATCGCAAATATATATGTGGGTTATTTTGTATGTATGTGTACATTAAGTTTGTCAAACAAAAATAGGCAACTGGTTAGGGTTATTTTAGCTCAATAGGTGGAGATTAATTGTTGGAGTTACGTAATGCAAAATGAGTGAAGAATATTGGGTGTTATTGAAATTAGGGTAGTAATTTATTTATTTATTTATTTAAACGCATAAAAACTTGGTACAATATGGCACCAAGAAGGATGAGCCACACAATAATAATAAAACAACATAGATAAAAAGAAAAAAATATAAGTAGAGTACGGATAAAGAACTTCATCTGGAAGGAAAACAGTCGTGCTTAACAAGTTCAAACAGTATTCGTTAACTATCATCGGGAAGGGAAGAAAGAAGGAAATTGCAACACGTGTAATAGCACGCGATAAGTTTCATTGATTGTTTGTTGCTTCATTCAATTCATTGTGTGAGGCCTGAGATACTGCTCGGGCGCCCAGACCGAAGTAGGTGGTTTTATTAAGGGATCACCCACCCCCCGAGCCTTTGACTTGGAGTCTAATCCGCACGCAAGGCAGCGAAGCAGCGTCAGGAGCTGCATTTCCATGGTTTTCGGTGACTCGTATGAGTTCATACGCCATTTGATCCGATTGGATACTGGAGCCGATGTATCCCATGGTAACTGCTTTTAGTTTAACCGCTATCCAAACAACCTTCCTGACATGGTAGGACCTGCAGTGACAGAGTCCCAGTCAGTTTAGCATGTTGGGTCATTACGGTATTCAAGCCCGACTAGCACAACAAGGTAGCGGTTATCGGCCGGGGTTAGGGTAGTAACAAAGGTGATGAGTTGTCACAAACAGTTGCTAAAAAAGACTCTCAACAAACGCCTCCTTCAAAGTAATCTACAGAGTCAAGAATAACCTACCACCAATACGGTTTTGTCTTCTTTGTATCACTGAAGCTCTAGCTATTCACACAGAAAAAACCGGAGCTGTGCATACAAAAGAGAATTATTCAACCACCTCTAATGTCATGGTAACTTTGTTGATTTTTGATGACTTAATTTTGTTTATGTGTTGGTTTGTAGGGATTTGGTTGGTTTCAGGATTTCATCATGAGCTGACATTAGTTAGAGAATCATTGGAAAACCTGGGAGTACTGGACAACTGTTTCGTCCTAGTTTGAGACTCTTCAGCAGTATGCACCCACCGGGATTCGAACCCAGGACCTTCCGGTTACAACCAAATCCCTACAAACCAACACATAAATACCAATGAGATGCTCACTGGCGACTGGCCCTATTCAGGTAGGTAGTTACCTGGGTTCCAGTGAGAAGTCGTGACCAGTAGGGTGCAGCACGTCGGGTGTGAGGACAAATACTCGCCGAAGACATTGGCTAGCGGTCGCGCTATGTCGTGAATTGGCAGAAGCTAGAATTCATGGGTTGGGCATTGAATCGGGTCCCAGTGGCTTAATGGTCTACGAGCTCGCCTTGTAACTCGAAGGTCCTGGGTTGGAATCCCGGTGGGTGTGTACTGCTGAAGAGTCCCAAACTAGGACGAAACAGCTGCCTAGTACTCCCAGGTTTCCCAATGGTTCTCTAATTAATTTTGTTTGTTTGCCTGTTTATTTAACTTGCATATAATTCTTGGATTCATTTAGAAGTCTTACGTGATTTCGTATTCTCTACTTCGTTCCTATGTATATCCTGAGTAAAACTCACTCATCAAACTGTTCATATTATAACACAACTTCTTTCTTAACAACTGTTTGTGACAACTCATCACCTTTGTTACTACCCCAATTTCATTAACACCTAATTTTCTTGACTGATTTTCTGTTACATAACTCCAACAACTAATATTCACCTGTTTAGTTAAAATAACCATAACCAATTGTCTATTTTTGTTTGACAAACTTAATGTACACATACATACAAAATAACCCACATATATATTTGCGATTGTACAGCTAAGAAAATGAACTGGCCGGCGAAAAGAGACTCTTCGCTGGACTACGTGTTTTGTTTTCATTACTGCCTCCTGGATGGAGATTATCCATGAACTCCATATAAATTTGCTTACTTGATAAATATAATATCAACACAGTGAAACAGTCTTATTTACTGAATTTTTAAATATTATGGAAGTCAGGCATAGCTAGCTTTACCTCTTGGTATCATGTCTTCTACTAGTACTTTGGTTGTAAGTTCAAGTGCCTCGTCAGAAATCAGGTCGTTTCTCACCACTTCTATAACCATATTTATCACCATTCGTCTTTATAAGCTAACAGTGTTGAAACTAACCAATTTTCTTTCCTCACTATCTAAACTATGTTTTATTATTATTATTATTATTATTATTATTATTATTATTATTATTATATCCTTTAATTCCTAAAGGAACATAGGGCTTTAGCTGCGCATCTCCATTGCCTTCTGTTTTCTGCGAACTATTTCACCACGCTCCAAGTCTGCCCACATGCTTTCATCTCCTCCTCACATGACCTCCTCCAAGTTACCCCACCCTTGGACGACTAACTCGCCGCTTCCCTTTCGGTTTCCACTCGAGCAATGGCTTATCTAGTGATGTCACTTGATGGTTTCCTCAGTGTACGGCCAGCCAATCCATCTCCATTTCTTCCTGCCTATTTGCTGCACAATAATCGGTTCCCGCTGGGTTGGTTCGCTTATTGCCAGAGATCCCTGTTGCTGATGTTTTCTGGCCGGCCATGTGATCTTAAGTTTTAAGCTATGTTTTACTTCATAAGAATTTGTTAGTCTAAATTTTGAGTAGCTTCTCATTAGATTTAACACCATAGCAAATTGAATATTTAGACAATACATAAGTAGATGAATTACTAAAATCAATAGGATATCCTGATTTATAAATTTTGTTAACAGTATACATCTTACTGTACAATATACATTTATATGACAATGCCACACGTGTCAAGTGATCCACAGCAGAAAACTCGGCGACACTTCTGAAGTGAAAATAGAGGAGTAAGAAAAGGCGGCTGTCTGTCTACTATCACCGATGATATTCTAAATTGTGGTGGACTGGATTATGCATCAGACTGTTCATAGGATGTGGGAAGACAGTAATACACTGGGACCCGATTCAATGGCTCATGAATTCTAACTTCTACCAATTCGTGATTTAGCGCGACCCCAACCATTGTCGTTGGTGGGACATGCATCCACACACGTGACATCTAATTGGACCTCACTGGTCACGACTTCTCACTAGAACTCAGGAAACTCCAACCTGTAGCAAGTCACTAGCGAGCATCAGATTAACTTTCTATAGTTTTGGTTTGTAAGGATTAGTTGCTCGCTAGTGACTTGCTACAGGTTGGAGTTTCCTGAGTTCTAGTGAGAAGTCGTGACCAGTGAGGTCCAATTAGATGTCACGTGTGTGGATGCATGTCCCACCAACGACAATGGTTGGGGTCGCGCTAAATCACGAATTGGTAGAAGTTAGAATTCACGAGCCATTGAATCGGGTCCCAGTGGCTGAATGCTATACAAGCTTGCCTTGTAACCGGAAGGTCCTGGGTTCGAAACCCAGTGGGTGCGTACTGCCGATGATTCCCGAACTAGGATGAAACAGCAGCTGTCCAGTACTCCCTGGTTTTCAATGGTTCTCTAACTGATATCCATCTGAGAGAACATTGACAGTGAAAAGATGATTACAGGTGGACACAGAGAAGACGGAGGTGATAAAAATAACCACTCAACAGTAACAATTTACCATCAAAGGGAGACATTTACCAGAGGTTGCCTCCTTCACTTATCCTAGCGGGAAGTATCGTTTCAACTACAGACAGTCGAAATGGACGAAGATGTCATAGTCAGTCAGAATCGGGAAGGCAAGACACGCAGGCCTTCATCAACCTGAAACCAGTGTGGAAATCTTCTGTACTCAGCTAGCATAAGGAACAAGATTTGCATTTTCTCAACACCAATGTCAAGTCAGCTCTTCTATACGTGTCAGAAACTTGAATTGTGTATTCCTAAAAGGGTTTCCAACAGCCTGTTGCAGAATTTCATCAACAGCTGCCACAGCTTCGTTGGCTTCATACTGAAGATCGAATGACCAGAAAGAATTAGTAACAAGATACTATGGGAACTAATCAACAGGAAAGAGCCGATTGCTCAACAAGTGGATATGTAGGAGAAAGTGCAGATGGATTGATCAGGCATACACTGAGGAAGCCGCCGAACGACATAGCGCGCCAGGTCCTCAAGTGGAAACAAATGGAAAGCAACGAGTGGGTCGTCAGTGCGAGAGTGACATGGAGGAGATCACGTGAGGAAGAGATGAGAGAGTTTGATTAATCGATGACCCAGCTAAAGAGGGCGGCAGAAGATAGGACAAAGTGGAGATGTGTAGTTGAAGCCCTATGTTCCACTCGGAACGCAAAGGAACAATCATAAAATTAAACATCTTACTGGGGCTATCGGTTTTTTGGTATCAACCAGTAAACCATTTAGACTAATACAGAAATACCTTCGTCATTCGGTCCATAAGGTCCGTTGTGCATGGATTTTTTAACTTTATTTATTGTGTGGTGAGTGCTACTCATACGATTTATCAGTAGTAAATATGTATAAAGAGACGTTCATCGGCATAAGAAAAAATAAAAACAAATAGCAAGGACATATATTTGATTTCAGATAGGGCAAATGACACAGCGTATGGCGATACATGGAAGACGTGAAAGGAACAACACAAAGAAATACAATATGAAGTCCAGAAGTACTACATAACCCGAAGATCTATGCAAATGGTGTCACCTTGAAGGTAGGGTATAGTATAGACAATTCTTAAGGTGCTTTAGGGCTTCTATCTCTGCTTCCGTCATGTTAGACTTCCCTCTTCGTTCTGTCGTTGTTAATATTAGTGCACACTTTGCGCCAATACTGCATTAGTCGTTGTCTTGTCTATCCTACTTGGTGCTAGTGTGGTGAGAACTGTCTACTAGCCAAAATTGGTAGACAGAAATTTACGTCAATGTTTACGTCCCAAATATTGGACATGAGAAAGACAAGAACTAAGCTTAACCTTGAGGAACTCATCAACCAATCACAGAAGACTTAGTGTGGGCGGATATGACTAGCAGATATATTAACGGCTGTCTAAGAAACCACAACAAAGAGATGACAGGAAAACCACCAATCAGAAGACGTTGCCTCTGTTGCTTGACCCTTGTTCTCTGTCGTTATACTAGAAATAAGACTGTTTCACTGTGTAATTTACATCGAAAAAACAAATTAAATATCAAAATTGGTATCTGAAAACATAACAAAGGAGAAACTTTCTACCATAAAAAGAAAGCAAAGAAACAGGAGGGGGGTTATTAGCGCTATGAACAATCTTAATTATTCATTAAGGAATCTCATGATCTACAGCACTATTTCAAAATAATCCTTTTGCAAAAGTTCATTCACCCATGGTTCTGTAGTCAGATGGATAGAGGGAATAACCACTCACCCACCTTTAACAGAAGAATTCAGTGCGTTTATGAATATTTTGTTTTATTTTATTTGAAGTCAATATCAAATCTACCTAGAGAGAGAGAGAGACTGAGGTAGGTCACATAAGTCTGTTAATGAACAGTTGGTAATGAAACACACGCCTATTGTGTGTCAAAACTACCTGGTTATTCAAACCCCAACAGATGCAGCTGGTTCTCAACCAGTCACTCAATAGTTAGAAGTCGATAGTCTGCAGCAATGAGACTCACCTCCACCGAGATTACACTAAGTCAAGTAAAGCAGAGCGGAGTATCATAATTAACTCTAACTATATGATACTCTAAATTAAGTTTGTATTTCTACAAAAAGAGACTAAGGATACCTCAGGTGTTTTTGTTGTCGTAAGTCTAATTAAGACTACCAGTGTGGTGACAGCAGGCTGATAGCCAATTGGCAGACATTAATTTACGTCAATGTCTAGGTCACTAATATTGGCCGTGAGAAAATATGAACAAGGCTGATTCAACAACCAATCACAGCAGACTTAACCTGGGCAAATCAGATTCGCAAATATCTGGCTTAACTTTCCGAGAAACAACCAATCAGAAGACTGTCTTTGTCTGCTTGCATAAGCTATAATAATGTACATGAAATATATATATATATATATATATATATATATACGTGCTGATTTCCGTAATAAAACGATCTGTTGCCGGCCCTTGTCTTCTGTTGTTACACCAGTTCTGTAGAAACTATGACTTTCCAGGGATACAAACAAACATGTTGTAGCCCCTCGTTATATGACACCAATATTCTCAAAGAAATTAAAAATGTCAAACTTTTCTACTCGAATGATATACGTCTAGACGTGTAAGACGAATTTTTCTTGGTTCAACTACAGGAAGCTTAGAATTCAATGTGTTGATTGTCGACGAATCGAAAAACACGCTTAAATAAACTATTAGGGCATTCGAAAGCTGACATGGAGGAGATCAAGTGAGGAGGAAATTAAAGCTTGTCGACAACCGTGCAACCGGATGATGAAGAGGAGGACTACAGAAATGAGGATGAAATACAGATGTGCTGTTGAAAGTCTATGTTCCAATTGGAAACCTGGGAAATAATCCAGAATAATATCTTAGACAGTCTACAGTTGAAAGGAAGAAGCCTCAAGACCAAATGTGCACACTTTTATGTATACACAGAGAACCATTGCTCTTCTTCCTTCCTCATGTTAGTTTGTTAGGGTTTGAGTGGTTACTAATTTCATCATGAATTGACACCATTTGCAGAGCAACTATTGAGAATCAACGAGTACCAGATACCTGCTTTGTCCTAGTTCCACACCCTTCGGTAGTACTACACTGGCTCCTAGTTTAGAAATAGGGAGTGAAGTGGTAGAGCACGTTGACCGCTTCACTTATTTGAGAAGTTGCATCAGGCAATGCCAGCGGGTTGACAGCTGACGAAATTTCACTACAAATATGGAAGGCTCGTTCAGCGTTTGTCAACTCACTCTATCTCTGGCTTAGTAGACGTAATATCTGACTGGCTGTCGATCAAAAGGCGGGTGTACTGCTTAGTAGTCCGTTCCGTCCTCCTCCTGTATGGCTGTGAGCAAGACCTGGCCATTGGGAGTGGAAGATATGGAAAGCCAGGCTAGATAGCTAGCTGTCTTTGATCATAGGTGTCTGTGTTCCATCTCCCGTGTCAGGTGGTGGTATAGTGGGGTGAGCAATATTGAGGTTAGACATCGGTCAAGTGATAGGTAAGTCAAGAAAAGGATATCAATAGACGAGGCTGTGAAGCTACATTGATTGAGAGAGATGGTTAGGATATGCGTTACGTATGCAGACCTAACCATCGATGGCCTTCCTCGACAATGGGCAATGTTAGCTGACATAGGGCAAAGGATCAGGTTGGAAAAGAGTTAGCTAGTGGTTGGTGGTCAAACCAAAACATGGCTTCATCAGTCAATGAAATCCACAACAGTTAGTTTAAGCCAGCCGCGTAGGAAGGTGTAGACTTCCTGGTTGGGGTACTGGGGACGGTAAAAACCAATGAAGGCTGGAGACAATTATGGCTCAAGATCGTTTTCAATGGCTGGTGCAGATGCATCCACTCCTTGTGACTTATAGTCTCCAATGAAACTATATTGATTTTATCCCCTCCCCTCCCCCGGAATTAATCACACTATTCGGTGGTATATACGCTGAATATACAGAAAAAACGTGGTAATCAAGCCATCATTTTAAAAAATGCAAACATACCCTGTTGAACATCCCATAATTCAATGAATCCTTTACTAGTAGCTGCTACTACCTGTAAACATTGTGAATCTGTTTCAGCTGAACGAAATTTCATCCAACAGTAATGATCTCGTCTTGAGCAAGCTGACAACGACGACAATGATGACGAGGAGGAGGTCACTTCATGATTTCGATGAATTTGATAGCTACAAATTGGTGTATAGGTAGCTTTTGAGGCACTATTATCAAATGGTAACTTCCAGATTAGAATATGTGACGATATACACTGGGATGAATGATTCGATTGTTTGCTAGAGGCTAGCAAAGGTCCATATAATGCAAGATACGGCCATTGAAGAGATAAACGTGGATAGATTATGACATCATTGTAGTGATGAATACCTAAGGTCTGATAATGCTTGTTCAAAGAAAAAAGAACCGACAAACAGTAGACGTAATTACTTCAATCCAAAGAAGCAGGTTAATCAAGAGTAGAGAGTTTGAGTAAACATTTGCTTTTACGAAACTCGGTAGTTTCACCGATGATAGATAGTTGCCACCTTGACACAGTGGTGATAATGTTGGTCATCATAGCGTTGGGAGTTTGAGAAACAAGTAGTTCTCTTTGTGAATAGTGGGTGTAGATACAGGAAGGTATATTTTCCAGGTTCACATGCGACTTTCCATAGCCAGTAGTATCATTTTCATATGGACACATGACGAGAAACCACTTCACACAAACAGTGTGTAACTGACCACAAAAGGCTAGCAACGCACTTCACTGGCCATGTGATCACCCAACATCTCATAGTCTTGATGTTTCACATATTTCAAGACGAAATTGACCTACATAATGTGAGGCAGCTGCGAAGTAGTAATTGTCCATCACTACCATCATCATTAATTTCATTTTTATATTTTCCAACATACTTCCTGATCAATTTATCAAGGTAATTATTAAATTTCAAAGTTTCTTTTATATGCCTCACCTCCTATCTTAGATTTTCCTTCGTAATATATTTAGTGTTTGTGCCTTATTACTTAAAAATTTCACCAAGATTGGAGGGAGGGATTGATAACGGCAGCTTTGTTTATCGAATCAACTGCAAACACGTGTAATAGTAAGGACTCGACACCTGTCCAGCCAGACAACTGAAAAATTCTACTACCCCTACGACGACGACGAATAGGAAAGAATAAAGAAAACTATAAAACTCAAGTTTTGAAGTTGTGTGATTATAATTGATGAAATGATTATGAACAATACTAGATCGTGTTCGAAACTTTGACATCCAGTATGTAATAATACTGTTTCACTTTATGTGTAATGTATACCCAAAAAAATTAATACGGAATTACATGATACCACAGTGCTGACCAAGTTTCACACGTATATTACCATAAATGTTAATCATGAAAACAAGCGAATTCTCATAAAACTAGACACCAATGATTGATTGATTGAGACGCGTTGTTGCATACCACTTATACCAACCAGTAGTAGTTAATGTTAGCCAGCCAGCCAGCCAGCCACATCGAGGTGATCTAATTACCTGATGGCCATTTCGCCTGCTTGAGATCGAGCTCATCACCGGTGTGCCTACCCGGTCTCGCTCACCTCACAGAGCCGAATCAGCTCAAGCCATCCAATCAGAACAAGTCGTGACCAGTAGGGTGCAGCAGGTCAGGTGTGAGGACAAATACTCGACGAAGACATTGGCTAAGGGTCGCGCTATGTCGTGAATTGGCAGAAGCTAGAATTCATGGGTTGGGCATTGAATCGGGTCCCAGTGGCTTAATGGTCTACGAGCCCGTCTTGACACCAGAAGGTCCTGGGTTGGAATCCCGGTGGATGCGTACTAATGAAGAGACCCAAACTAGGACGAAACACCTGTCTCTCCAGTACTTCCAGGTTTTCTAACGGTTCTCTAACTAATGTCAGCTAATGATGAAATCCTGAAACACAACAATTATGACAGTTCAACACTTCCTCATTCATCGCGAGTAGGCGGTCTCTACCCCCTACACCTCCTCCCACCGACATGGCTGAAACAGACGCTCAAGGACGCTTCACGAACTATCACCATGCTTTTGTTTGGCCACAATTGATCCTTTTCCAACTCAGTTTTATTTCACATAAAACTCCACATACATAAGAAAGGAAGGAAGGAAGGGACACGAAAACTCAGTGAGTCAATCGATGTTACTTGACAAACTCTATACCCTATCTTCCCCACCTTAGCTACCTACTAACAGCATAACACTGAACCTTATTATTACGCAACACATTATTGAGCTATAAAACACCCCAGCTATTCATAGTCGAAAGCGCTTGACTCTACTTGAGTAATTGACTGACTGATCCGTGCGTGATCTCGGCACAACAGCAAAACATTATTCTTTATCATCAGTTAAATTTCTACAAAAACTCTAATCCAAATTGACCATTGATACGCTTACTTACTCTATAATCAATTACATGAGAAATATAAAATTTATTCTTATCATCAGTTACAATTTCTTGTGCCTTTTCTCTTCTCTGACGACTAAAATCATTTTTCCCATGATGATGATGACGCCAGGAGATATTTTCATCTTTTAATATTTTTTCCTCTTGATTGGTTTTAACATTCGCTACAGGACACGGTAACAGTAAATCATTATCATGTATTGTTGATGTCCAGAAGTTGCCTGGGCGAATATTTACAAAGACAAAAAAATCAATCAATAATAAGACATAGGAAAAACGACAAAAGTCTCCCAAAATTTCACTGGGACAGCATATTTTCTAAAGCCTAGGTGTCAAATAATGTTGTGATCATATTATGGTCATGAATAATGAATCAGAGTGAAGGAGTGAGTGGGTGTGTGGGTGGCATATCTATCTGGTCCACATTCTACCGGTCGACCAATCAAAATTTTCTTCATGCTAAGCTTGATCGATAGTATCACAGGCAGCCTCACAGATAGCCAATCGAATTTATGGCTTTAAATAAAGCGCCCACGCACATATTGGACCAGAATTCGGTGCTACTAGTACTACTACTGTAACAATAGAAGACAAGGGCCAGGCAACAGATCATTCATTAAGCTCAGGTGGACGATTCTGATGTAGTTGTGTTCTTTTGCAACGATAGAAGGCAAGAGTCCCACAATAGATCGTTTATTTAGGAAATCAACACATATTTATAGATTTTCATGTACATATTATGGATTATTGTTAGCTGACAAGCACGGTCTTCTGATTGGTTTTTTCTCACAGAAAGTTAACCTTGCATCTCTTTGTGGCTGTTTCTTGAATGTCAGATCATCTATATGCTAACTGTATACGCCCACGCAAAGCCTTTTTCTCACGACCAATATTGGGGACATAAGCGTTGACGCACATTACTGTCCACCAATTTTGGCTAACAGCCAGCTCTCACCACACTGCTACTGTAGTCAGAGCTGTCTGCCAGCCAAAATTGGTAGACGACAATTTACGTCAATGTTTGCATCCCATATCATGGTCATGAGAAAAAACAAGAACAAAGACTTTGCGTGGGCGGATACAATTCGCAGGTACACGGTTTGACCATCAAAGAAACGGCCAAAAAGAGATGACAGAATAACTTTCAGCGAGAAAATATCCAATCAGAAGACGCTGGTTCTATGCTAATAATAAAGAATAATAATGTAAATAAAAATATATAAATATCTCTTGACTTTCTTAATAAACGAACTGTTACCTGGCCCTTGTCTTCTTTCTGTCGTAACACAACTACCTAACAGAGCTGGTAATATTAGTCACAGTTTAGTGAGTCCGGTTGTTCTTTTATGATGAGCAGGTACATCTCCAACAACTCTCTCGCAACATGTTTCCAACCTGGAATCATCAATTGACTGCGTGAATCGAGTATGCACTGTGTATAATGTTTCGGGTGAACAGTCGACATTCCTGCATACCTCTGATTAAAACAGCTGGTATATTTTACCGACGAGCAAAACAAATCAATTAACTATTGAAGAAGAATATATCTTTAAGATGAGCATAAACATAACCTAAAAATTAACTTCATCATCTATAGGAAAAAACATTCCATGTGAATGAGTAAAATTCGCGAAATTGGAAATAATTGAGGCGTGTACCAGAGAACAGAGAACCCAAACAGAAATTGGGTTATCATGAAGTCAATGTGAAACAAACATGCCGACTATCAATGCTCACTCTTTTTTGACAGGCTACAACAAAGGATCAAATGAGATCATTTCTTTACCCGACGGGTCACCTTATCTGAAAAAAATCAGCCCTTCATCCAGTCTCTCTCCAAAATTTTTTTTAATCCCGAAAACTATGAATTATAGTTACCACAGCCAATCAGATAGATGATCACCTGTGACAGCAGGTCGTCAACATTACCTGAACTACCGTTTCACCCCCGATTAGTTTTCCATTTCCTTGTAAAAATTTTGGTGTGATACTGAAGACTACGACGAGTACATAAAGAGGTACTACGACCACCCTTAAGAAGTATCCCTAGGCACCATTAATTCATCGTCATGTATCATTCACACGTAGTTCTTATCATTGCACAAAGTATAGAAGAGTGAGTCAGTAAGTTGTGTTGTGCTCATGTGTCTCACATACCTTCTTGTCGAAATGTAAACTGGTGTGTGATGCTGCTGACTAAAATGATATTGTGTGGGTGCCACACACAATTGATGTCGACAGCAGGGGGTTTGTGTGAGTGGCATTATCGCGACATTGCAGCGTCAACAGTATAGATGAATCGTATTGCTGCTACCGTATTCAGAGGAGTTGGTGTTGATGTCTTGTTGGTACTGGAGAAACCGTCCTCATGAAAAGTGAAAGCAATCGAGATGGGAGACGACGAGCAAAGCAACTTCGGGTCCTGCCTGGGAGAGTGTGGGCTACTACTCTGAGGGTAGAAAAGGCTTCGTGGGACGGGCGGACGGATGGACTACTCATGCGGACCAGTGGAGAGGATTTTCGCAGCTGTCATTATTCCATTATATTTACCACAGGACACAGGACGAAAGATCAGGTTGGAAAATAGCTAGTTAGTGGTGGTTAAACCAAAGCATGGTGGCATCAGTCAATGAAATCCACAACAGTTAGTTTAAACCGGCCACGTAGAGAGGTGTATACCTAGATATGATGGCGAAGATTTGTAGATCAGGTGTATGATTCTGATGTAGTTGTGTCCTCTGAGCTGGATGGTTTATAGTTGCTAAGTTTTCATTGCCCCCTACTGGGGAACATCTTCACCGCATACTTTGTGGTTTAGGTACTCGTGTTGTTAACATCCAATGAGGACTGGGGACAATTATCGGTGATATGGTACGCAATCCTCGTTCTCAATGGCTGACGCAGATACATCCACTCTTTGTGACTTATCATACTCGATAAAACTCTATTGTTCTTCCGTATTACTATTCCTTTTGCCTCATATTTCTGTTTATTACCTCTCTCCTCCCTCTTCTGAATCGCTCTTTACTCTCTTCTCTTGCTTTGTGTGCTATATGGAGGGTGTGTGGCAAGTGGAACTGCTGCATATCAGTGGAAAGGCTTACGTTAAAACTAGTCAGTCAGTCCCGTTGATAATGATAACTGCTTGTTATTGTCGATCGTCGGTCACCTCAATGACTTCTCTCTCTCTCTATTCTCTATGTTCACCTGAAGTCCTGGCTTCGCCGCCTACCTTTCTTGCACACTTGTTGGTTTCCAGCTGTAGATCTTCAATTGGACACAAATCATCTGAGAAGTTCAAATCTCCTAGTATCTTTTAGTGATCCCAACCTATTCCACTCTTCTCGCTTCTTACAGTCTGTCACATAATCCACTCCACCCCATTTAGGGAAAATCATTGGTGGTAGAAGGCGGTTGTGTCTTACTCCTTCCTATCTTCACTTCAAAGCCTCCGCGAAATTTTCCATTGAAGATCACTTGACATGTGACATCATCCATCGCATATAGTCAGAGAGTTGTTGAATGAGAGTGATAACAATGTGGGCAATGCACTCCGCGCGAACTATCGAAGCAGTTTCCAAATCGCATTACCATTAACGCCAGCCAACAGCTTTTCACAAAATTGATTCATTTGAAGAAAAGCATTGATTAGTATTCTATGCTCTATTCGACGACGATTATGATCATGCCTACATAGCATTGCAATTCGATCCACGCATAATTTGGTTTACCAGAATTCAGGTAGTTTGGAGTAGGGTTTTGTATGCAGAGAATCTTCTGGTCGATCGTTTTTTTTCAAGAGGACAAACACAACCACTTACCTTTATCATCGGCGTCTTTTAGGTTGAAGAAATCTTCCCCTCGAATATCGCCAACATCCCCATCATTGACATTATCTGGCAAAGACTTATAAACAATATGACTTGATGAGTTCACTGACAAATCATTTGTTTTTGATTGCCCCGATGTTGAACAACTCTCCTCATAGGAATCTGAATCAGAGTAATTAACTAATTCATCCTAAAAATCAAAATATCAAACAATAAATCAATAAAGAATTTAGGCGAAATGGGAAATTTGTCAATTCTTAGAAGTTATTCTCGGGAAATAATAATAATAATGAATTTCAAATGTTAGTTTAGTAACAATTTGATTCATTTAAAGTTTCATCATCACAAACTGACTTCAGTTAGCAAACAAGTAAGCCGGACGAAAAAGGAACCCCCCCGTTTCGTCCTAGTCTGAAACTCTTCAGCACCGAAGAATCCAATGGAAATCAGATCCGACAGCTTCTTTATAATTAAAGTTTTTGTATTTCCCAATGAATGAAAAACAAAACAATATTGTTGTTTTTACTGACGTTTCGCTATTTAATGCTACCGCTAATAGCTTAATCAAAGTACTATTAAACCGGAATTTACAAAATCTCAGCATATATATAACAAAGAGCTATCGGGTGAGAAAATAGACAGGTTAGGTCAAGTTAAAGAGATATACTGAAAGTCAAAATAACAATGAAGATAAATCACTAAACCAAATAACAAAGGTAATAGTACATCTGTTGTGATATCAAAACAAAGTTCACTAACTTGATCATCGTTCGTCGGTCTGGAGTCATTTTTCGCTATCAAGTTGGTGACTTGGTAAAGATAACAAAATCAAGTGTAGATTGTTGGATTTGATCAGTGTGTGACATTATAAAAGTAGTGTGTGTGTTACATAGTGAACTTGCTTATCACATTCGTGCTGATTTTGTCACTTCATGGGGGAAGGGAGGGAGGTGTTGTAACCAGGTCAGATTCTGTTTTAGTCCATTATTCCTATTCAGACAATTTGGATTCTATTTAATGATATGAAGTGCTTCTGATGATAATACACGTTCTTTGTGACTTCTGAAGTTTTTCTGGATTATTTCAATATTGTCAAAATCAATTTTATGGCCTGATTCTATAGCGTGTAGACGACATATGGGTGATGATTTTTCAAGTTTTTCTAGTTCAACTGGATTTCTCAGTGGTCGAACAGATGCTCTACAGTGTTACAAGACCAAGCTAGGACAGAATCCAGTGGCAACCTCGTGAATTCTAATGTTTACCAATTCGTGACATATTATATATCACCTCGGCCAGCTTATGTGATCAGCAAATATTTGTCCTCACACCTGTCCACCTGGTGGTCACGACTAGTGACTAGAACTCTAGGTGACTTCATTCGGTAGTCAGTCACTAATGTGCACTGGATTAATTTCCAGGTGTGTTGATTTAAAGGAAACTGACTGGTTTCAAATCTGATCACTTGCTGATATCGGTTAAAGAAAAATTAATTTCCAAGGCGTACTATGACAAAACAGCTATCTGGTACTCAATCTGGTTTTCAACGGCCCTCTAACTGATATTAATCTCTGACAAAATGTGAAACCAGTCAATTCTCTACAGACTAACATTCGAAAATTACTAATAGATAAAAAATTCACCGTATTTGTGCTGTACTGTATACAGTAGAAGATAAGAGAATTGGTTGGGAACGAACTTTTTTATTGAGGAAAAACACACACATATTTATACAGTTTTAACCACATGAAATGTCGCCTGGCCGATAGCTGCTACCTTGACGTGTTAGTCGGGCTTGCATATCGCAATGACCCAACAAGCTACATGGGCTGGGACTATTCTTCCTGTAGGTCCTGCCAAGTCAGGAAGGTTGTTAGGATAGCGATTAGACTAAAAGCAGTTACCGGCTTAGTGTAGGAATCTTTCTTACACTATGGTAAGGGTCTGAGGGCTAAGTCGTACTTCTGGGGAACAGGGGTGTAACAGCAGTGGGGTGTTTCCCTCAGATGACCAGCATGCCAGCGAGCTATTCTATCTCTCCACTCCGGAGGGAGGGGTTAGAAAAGGTCGACCCCAAAAATTGCACATCCCGACTTACCCTACGGTGGTCCGTGACCGGCCTCAAGCAGTTGTTCACTAGGCTCTGTGGTCACGCAATACTAACCCTCTTTCTGTTTCAGGTACCCGAAGAATTAGTGAACATCCACGGTGTGGGCAGCCGGGAAGTAACAACTGCTCACACACTTCCAAAAGCACACAAAGCCTTGCTGACGGATGATAAACTGTTCTGATTGGTTGGTGATTTGTCCAAGGTTAAACAAAGGGACGAAAAGTTGTCCAATCAGATTATTCCTGGACCACAGCGTGAACTGAATCCAGATTTGAATATACATTCCTACATTGCACTTTGAATTATTGATATCAGATGGTTGAAGGCGATCAGCAGGAAGCCTTGCGTGGCCTACGTTTCACGCTAGTTGGCTTGGCACTCACCAGTAGTCAGCAAGGCGTATCTACAGCCTTGAAGGAACTCATATCTCTTCTAGGGTTCGAGCACGCGTCACACAGTGCGTTAGTCAGATCGCGAACCCGAACACCTCAGTGGTAACGTCTCTAACTGCAGCACACTGACTGAAGTAGGTTCAAACCTCAAAAGGGACATGAGTTCCTTCAATGTTGCACATACGCCTTGCTGACTCACTGGTGAGTCCCACAAGCCAACTAGCACGAAACCTAGGTCACGTAAGGCTTCCTGTGGTCAATTGCCTCCAACCACCTAATGTCGTCAACAATTCAAAGTGCACCGTGATGGGGTGAGCCACCTAGTGGCATGGTGGCCAAATTGCAAACTTGACTGACTGATAGAATTCAGTCTGCAGCAGCCAGACAAAGGATTAGACGCATTACACTAGTTACTGATTAATGTCCAATCAAAACATTTCCAACTCTGCAGCAAGGTGACCAGCCAACCAGCTATTGACTTAAAATGCTGATGTCCTATCGGTCTGCATCACACCAAAGTTTCCTACACTACTTTTCCTGGTAGACTACAGATGTGTCCGTCCTTGACAGCTTAAAATTTAATTTGTAAAGTCAGTCATGAATAGATTGAAAAAGTTGAGCTATATTCTTTGATTTCACAAATAAGAAAGAATTTACACCAGTTGGAAAAGAATTTTTCAAGAAATCTTTATTAACTTTCACAGATATAAATGTATGGTGTAAAAATCAATAAGACTATTATAATTATTATTAGTTTAGGTTGTATGTGTTAAAATAGTTAAAGTTATGTCTTTAAATTCATTCTATACTTACTGTTGGTTCGTTTTATACTGAAGTGAAATGTCCATTCTTTGCGTTGAACATGTCAGCTACTAGTACGGACATTTTGGTGATGTCTGTGGATTATTACGAAATAGTTTGGAGGGCGGTAGTGCCTAGTAATGAAATCCAGAGTGTGCATTTCGTCCCATTAAGGGCCCCGTCAACTGGACGTACCTGCAATCAAATGGTGTCTTCAAGCGCCTCATTAGATGAAACGAATGGTGCTTGGTTCGAATCTATCAGTGGGAACATCATGATACTCACTGGTGGTGCAAAGGGGTGGCGGCTACTGCAGGTATACCCAGGTGACAAGTCCCAAATAGGACGAAATATGCATCATAGATTCCCCTATTAGGTCACTATCCACCAACCTACCATTCAATATTAACATGTGTATGTGTGTTAACAAAATTCGTGTTGAGGTATTGCAAGTATGACAAAATTCTACGTAGATTTATATAGTCAATTTTAAGGTTGTAAGCAGATGAAGAGTACCCGAAGACGAAATATAAAAAAATGATGGCCTCATATTATTCTGTGCTGTAAACATTTGTTTTTGCTTTTTGTTTAGATGTATAAAGGGGAATAAATGCATGGAACCATTTTGTTTTTAGAACCTCAAGTATCCCAGTGGAGCAGTCTACACACCTCCCTAAGTGACTGGCCAACACCAATTTTCAAAGACCTTATGGATAAATGACAGATTCTGGTTTGACCGAGAAGTAATTTGGATAGTACTTCAACACTACGGCGTGCAGTGCTGAAGTCTTTATCAAACTTATTCAACATTTGGCTATATATGACAATACCACATGTGTCAAGTGATCCACAACGGAAAACTCAGCGAGGTGTTCGAAGTGAATACAGGGTTAAGATAAGACTGCCTGCCTACCGATGATATTCTCAATTGCGGTGGACTGGATTATGCGTAAGACTGTAGTACACAAGGAGTGAAGAGTCAGGAATATGCTGGACCACCGATAAGAATACTCTAGAAGATCTGGATTTCACAGATGGTATATGTCTAATATCACAAAAACTCGAAGACTTGAAAGCGAAAACTAACAAACTAGCTGAAGAGACTGGCTGCGAAAACAAGATTCCAGGTGAACACAGAGAAGACGGAGGTGACGAAGATAACCAACCAACGGCAACAACAACAACAACAACAACAAGTACCAACCACCATCAACGGGAGAGATTTAACAAAGGTTGCCTCCCTCACTTATCTAGCGAGGAAGCATCGTTTCAACTACAGGCAGTCGGAACGGACGAAGATTTCAAAGTCAGTCAGAATCGGGAAGGCAAGACACGCGTTCATCAACCTGAAACCAGTTTGGTAATATTCTACACTCAGTATAAAGAACAACATTTGCATTTTTAACACCAATGTCAAGTCAGTCCTTCTATAAGGGTCAGAAATTTGGCGTGTTACCAAAAGGATTTCCAACAGCCTGTTGCAGACGGCGAAAAGTATTTCGCTTCTTACTTAAATTTATTAAAGGGGAATAAATAGATGAAATCATTCGTCTTTAGAACTGCAAGGATCCCAGTGAAGCAGTCTACACACCTCCCTAGTTGGTTGACTTACACCGACTATCAAAGACCTGATGGATGGATGACAGATTCTGGTTTGACCATCCTTAATTCTTTTCCAAATTAATTCTATGTCAGCTAACATTGCTCCTCGAAGAACGCGTTGCTACAAGAAGCGTGTAACACCACTTATCCTAGCCATCTCAATGGATGTAACTTTGCAACTATATCGATTGACTTGCCCTCCTTGTCTGACACTTTTAACTAAACCTAATATTATTACCTAACACGCTCAAACACTTTAGTCCCTATCTTCAAATCGGGAATCCG